TATAGTCAAAATAAGTGACTCTCCAACAAACTCAATGATACTCAATAATACTTTGGTAGTCCAATGAGTTTAAATGTACTACTAAAAAATATAGTTAATTTTCTTCTAGATCATTTGAAGGACAGAATGACCTCCGAATTCCTTCCATTTATTATCGAAATGAGCATCTTGATGAAGCTAAGTTCGATCATTCAAATTTAAGTTCACAAGGTCACATAGATGTTCTAAAATTATCAAATATTAATGATTAAGAGAATTCGATTTCAATAGTTTGGTGGAGTGTCAAGTGTTTCTAATATAATTGATCAAATGGCCTACAAAAAATCATAATATATTATATTTCTATGCAGTCAAAAGTGACTGAACACCAATGTACAACACTCATCTTCATGGGCACCAATCTCTCATCATAAAAGGAGAATGACTTAGTAAACAACTAACCCTTGGTCGTTGTTCAACCTTCAGAATTATCTGATGTTTGTTCATTTCGATTTATGTCAACGGCAAATGTTATGTTGGGAAATAGATGAAAAATAATTAAAATATAAAAGGCAATATATAAATAAAAAACATAATGTTTCTTATGAGGTGCATAATTGATATGATATCCCATAATGTCTCCCTCCTATAAGGTGCTTGCATGATTGATATGATATCCCATAATTATCTAATGACAATTCAAAGATCTCAATACTTCTACTTCCAACATAAAATATATTTTCTACTTCCAACATAAAAGATATTTTTCATAGTTTATGTATATTACATTATATTAACTCATTATCTTTTAAGGGATAAATGTACAATTTATCATATATGACTCCCACTATTTAAATCATTTCAACAGGCTGATCATGTCCCATAATTTTTTCTTTCTATATTTTTGTTATAAAAAAAACATAATGTTTCTTATGAGCTGCTCTTAACTAACTTGTATGTGCATGAAAATTTTATTTAATGTTAAAATAATAAATTATCTCTATCACAGTGAATATTCTAACAAACAACAATGATAAATTAGATGAGTTTCTATAAAGCTTTATGATAGTTTTTTTTTTAAGTCAAAGAGCAAATGCAATATGCCTATTTAAAGTTAGAGCGGTTTATGATGATATTGAGCTCATTACAATAATAAAATAAATGCTAAGAAAATACTTTTGAAACATCATTTTTTTTTAACGTGAATTTCTACCCGCTATCATCGTAAGCAGGGTGGATCCAACTTCTTTTTTCAGCGTGAGCAAAAAAATTTTTTATGGGAGATGGGCAAAGATGACTATGATTGATAAAATTATGGCAAAAAATATTTTTGCGGGGGACAAAATGCCCAAAATATTTAAAATATTCCAAAAAATCCCCTATAAATATTAATTTTTTTTTTGCTAAGACCAATGTGGATCCGCCCATGACCGTAAGAGGCGTTTGGCGGCATAACTAATCCATCAATGAGCCTACCAACAACCAGACTCATAGGTGCAGGATCAACAATTATTTTCTTCCTATTTAAAAAATTTTAAAACATCATCACCTTCAATTTTTCCAACTTACAGAAATCCACAAATAAAATAAACATTGAATTCCGCCAACTTAGAACATGTTGAACGACAATAGCAAACTTTTCTAACCTCCACTTCTCGAGATGAGCAATATATGCCACATAAGCTTAAATAATAGGTTCATATAAGTGTCTGTATACCACCAGGGAATCAGGGGCCTCCTTCTAAAGTTGCTGATGGTTTTGTCCCGCTCGATCTATGCTGCAGCTTATACCTGAGTCCTGATCAATTTTGTATGCCACAATTTTATTTCTCTATTGGGTTACGGGTGGTATAGATTTTTACTTGTAACTGTTTCTTTTTAATAGAAGGGCTTATGCCCCAAATTCTCCCAACAAAAAAGTGTCTGTACGATCTGCCATAAAAATCTGCCAATTTACTAAATAATATTTTATAATAAATACTTGGGAAATTTACATACATACCACTATATTTCTAAGCATTTACATATCTAACACCTCAAAGTTTAATATTACTTTTATACCACCCAAATCCCTATTTCACATCATTTCTACCACTCCGTCTCCAAGCAGGCTTACGACGTCTTTTATTCCATTTTTTCGCGAGTTAGGGCTTAATCTCCGGCTGCTGAAGCGAAGAAGGAGAGGATCACATTCCATTATATGCGATCAGAGCTCGGCCTCTTCGCAATCCAAGGTAAAAGTATGGAACTTTTGGCTTTTCAATCTCTCGGCCTAAAACACATAAGAAAAGCCTCACATTTTCCTTCTACTCCTGACCAAAACGGTGACCAATCCAACAAAAGTGCATATCCAAAGCTCTCAAATTTTATTTCTGGTCTGTTTGTATAATACCTGATCTATTGGCACTCATCTCTCTTAAAAAAATGCAGTTTTCATCAACTACAACTCCAAAGATAGCCTATTTTCTGGTATTCAAATGGTGCTCAATTCTGACTTTTCTTTTCAAATCTATTTTCTTAGCATTTCCTGGTCGTGAGTGATGACGACCGAAGAGGAGCAGTGCTTGCAATTCGATTTTTTTTTTTCATAGTTAGCCGGAGATGGAGAACGTGTGGATCGACCGGGATGAGCTGCAGAGATTGGACCCTGACCTACTGGAGTGGTACGAGACTTCTAGAGACGCTCACTCGACGGGGTCAAACTTTCTCCCACCTGGGGAGAATGATGAGAACATCAGATTTCGACACGTGTACCATCGCCAGAGACGCAGATCGACGGCTACGATTCAGAGCCTTTATTTCTGATTTACTTGTATTTTATTTATGCTTGTTTTTTATTTTTCCTAGTTTGCCCCTGTGGGCATTGAGTCACTTATATAGCCCCGAGATCATTTGTGTCATTTTAGTTCTGATCTATCTTGGCCTATTTAAAGGAGGCCTCATGCATTGTAATGGATCATGAATTATTGAATGAAAAATTTCTTCTACTTGTGTGATCTCTTAGTGAGTTCATGAGAGAAGAAGCCCGAGGAGGGTGATTTGCAATACCCATCATATTTGGAAGAGTCCAATGTTCGCGGTTTTTACGATCTCTTTGTGAGTTCGTTAACTTACTTTTATCTTATTTGTAATTTTATTTCATCTCCTTTCTCCCGGTTAGGAGAGTAGAGGTATTAGATTTGACTTATGTTAAGAAAGGTAGGGGTAGACCTAAAAAGACTTGGTTAGAAAATATTAGGAATGACCTTTCTTTATTAGATTTAAACGAGAATTTGACTTTTAATAGGACACAATGGAGAAAAAGGATTCATGTAGCCGACCCCACGTAGTGGGATAAAGGCTTGATGTTGTTGTTATTGTTGTATTAAAAAATTACTTCAAGAATTAGTAAGAAAGCCAACCCAAATTAAACTTAAATATTAAGAGATGTCATTAACGTGCGTATGTACAACAAAAGACACATTAGTTTTAGCACAAAATTATTAATTAATCTTATGCGGTGAATAGTTTTTTCTATTCATTACTATGTTTTTTTTTGTTAAATTTTAGAGTCTATATTATTACACATTTACAACTAATATAAAATTATACAAAGTAAAACTTTGGGGTGTCAATATTTGACCAGATTCGAAAACCCGACACGAATCAGATTCGAAAATTTCGGGTTCGGGTTGACCCGAATCGAGTCGGGTTCGGGTTCAGGATTTCGACCCTTTTGTAAAATCAGGTCGGGTTCGTGTTGACTCGGAAACCCGATTTGACCCGTTTGTAAAACAGTCTCCCGCTCAAATGATCAATCGAGTCCATCTGTGGCGTCGCGTCGCGTCGGAACTCAGATGGCAGATGCCAGATGCCAACTCGCGTCATTTGTCCGGGTCAAGGGCGTCAGTCGCATCGTCCGTGAGACTGTGAGCTCCGTCTGCGACTCTGCCTGTTCGCCGTCAACGAACTTTCTGCATGTTCGTCGTTCGCTTCAAGCATCCTCCGCCACCGCAGCTTCTGCCGGACTGACGCCGCAGCTAGCCTCTGCTGCCGCAGCCCCTCTTGGTCGTCCGCCGCCGTTTCTATTGGCCGTCCGCCGCTGCAGTCGTTGCTGCTAACCCGCCATCCACTTTCCGCCTCAAACCTAAGCTACTAACGCCAAGCAGTCGGGTCGGGTCGGGTTGACCCGAACCCGAAGCGGGTCGGATTCGGGTCCGAAAATTGACCCGTTTTCAAAAACGGGTCGGGTTCGGGTTGACCCAAATAATGCTAGATCAGTTTTGGGTTTGACCCGAACCCAACCCGTGACCCGAAATTGACACCCCTAGACTAAAACACAAACTCGATCAGCTCATAAAAATGACGTAAACTATATTCACATAATAATTCCTACTATAAACATCCATACTTGTTTATACATTATTCAGTACGTACACTCCATTTAATTTTCTTTTACCTTTATTTACTGAAATCAATGAGGCGCCAACGTAATGTTTTCCTTCCGATTACGTCCACCGCTACAGCTGCTCACTCGAAATTTATGATTTCCCTATTTAATTATTCTAAAAAATAATTATTACACACGTTGGACAGAAAATCATTTTTATTTACTAATTCAAAGAGTTACGACTCTCCAGCATTTAAAGTTAATTTATATAAAAATGATGAGATCGAAAGTTTTGAAATTTATTTTAAATATATCAACGTGGCAAGCTCGGCAATTCCCTTTATACATATATGTAAAGAGAGAGAGAGAGACAGTGGTAAGTAGGAGAAGGTCGGGCGAATTATTACGTCCGGTCACCGAACGTCCGGACATCCAATCCAAACGCGTCATCTCACCTGAATACACTAGATCCTGATGTATATTTTTTGGTGACGTAGCACGTCTGAATTGATATCAAGACGAATCAGAACAACGGACGTAATAATTTGCCGTAAGTAGTAGAAGGCCGGGACAAAGCCGGGCAACAAACTAATGCCGGTCACATTCGTCGCCGTTGGCCGCCACAGCTCGAGCTGGTAACCCAACAAATATTAAATACACAACTTCAACCATCGCTGTATATATAACTCTTTTGCATTAATTCTTACAGCTTGAATTAATTCGATCCATTTCCTCTCACGAGAAAATACAATACGCAACATCGAGCAGCGAATACCAATAGAATCGAATCAGCTATAGAATCTGACAAACACACACAATAAATTTCAACAAATCAAACAGCCATCTACTTTACAACGTCGATCGGTTGGTGGTAGGAAGAGTTGTTGAGCGGAGAGAATCACAGTAGTACGTGTTCGCTTGCCGGCGGTAATTAGCACTGGCGAGCTCGAGTTTAGAGCTTCACCACCTCGGGTATGAAGACGGGGTAACGGTCAATGGAATCACCCCACGGCCCATCCAACGGTATCTTAACGGTCCTCATGCATTTCCAAACGGCGCTGTTGCACTTGAATCCGCTCCCGAACCCTATCTGCCAAACGCGATCGCCGCGCTTCATACGCCCTTTCGATTCGATGTAGTTGAGCTCGTACCAGAGCGAGCTGCTCGACGTGTTACCGAAGCGGTGCAGTGTCATCCGCGAAGCCTCCACGTGCTCTGCCGAAAGCTGCAAATTTTTCTGCAGCTCGTCGATCACCGCTCGCCCGCCGGCGTGAATACAGAAGTGCTCGAAAGCTTGCTTGAAGTCTGGAATATAAGGTTTCCATTTCGGGTTTATTATTTTTCGTCCGATGAGTGTGAAGAGGAAGAGGAGTTGCTCGGAAGCAGGGAGGACTAAAGGACCAATGGTCGTGATGTTGGATTTCAGCGCTTCACCCGCGATGGCCATCAGGTCTTTGGAAAGAGAAATTCCGGAATGGCCATCCTTGTCCTCTTCCTCGTAGACGCAACGGTAGGCTTTTTCATCAGCGCCCTTATGTGTTCGGACTAGGTGGACGAGGCGGTATTTGGCGCGGCGACGGTCGCGGCGGCGGTTGGAGAGGAGAATTGCGGCGGCACCCATGCGGAAGAGGCAATTGGGAAGAAGCATGGAGCGTTGGTTGCCGGCGTAGAAATTGGGGGTGATGATCTCCGTTGAGACGACGAGGGCGGTGGAGTTTGCGTGAACCTGGAGTAGATCTCTGGCGAGGTCTATAGAGATGAGACCAGCGCTGCAACCCATGCCGGAGAGATTAAAGCTGTGAATGTTGCCGCGGAGTTTGTAGCGGTTGACTATCATAGCGGAGAGGGAAGGTGTTGGGGAGAAGAGGCTGCAATTGACGACGAGAATGTCGATGTCTTTGGGTTTGATACCGGTGCGGGCGAGGAGGTCGTCGACGGCGGAGAAGATGACAAGTTTGGCTTCGGCGCGGGAGGCTTCCATATTGGGGCTTGGGGGGATATAGTGATTAGCAGGGGGGAGACAGGTCTCTTCTCCAAGGCCGGAACGTTCGAGGATGCGAGCTTGGAATTGGTAGCTCTTCTCGTCGGAGCAGATGAGGCGGGTGTGTTCCATGAAGGTGGAGAAGGGGACGCGACAAGACATAGGAGGTTTGAAGCAGGCGTAGTCGAGGAGATAGATCGGGCGTGGGCGGGACATGAAGTAGACGGTGGCGACGAAGACGATGATGAAAGCGGAGCAGAGGATTTCGAGGAGGTCCAAGTGCAGGGAGCGCCAAAGGGAAAGGAATTCGGACGGGCCCATTCGGGCCACTTCGAGACCGACGGCGGCGATGATGGGTATGAGGAGGAGGGTGAGGATATGGTTTACCAGGTATTGGTAGCCAAGTTTGACGTATTTGAGCTTGACGGAGTTTTTGAACTCTGGAAGGGGAGGGGAGGGAGAGGAGGAGGAAGAGGAGGATGGCATGCTTGAATTTTTGTTTTTGGATTAATGTGGGTGATGAGTGGTTTGTTTGGCCGGGAAAAATGGAATTTTTTTTTCTCCCGGTGGCTTTTGGCGAGAATGGATTGGGGAAAGAGGGAGGGAGGGAATTTAAAGGGGGGTTTAGTGCGCAATGAATGGGGTAGATGGTGGTTTAAATGAGAAGCTGGGTCCCGGGCCTCCAGGCCGTCTCTGATCTTGCGGAGCAAGAGGTAATTGCGAAGGCGACACAAGAAAAGAAGAAATTATAATTCATATACGTGAGCGGATCGAGCTGATATACGTCCATTATAAGTTTTATTTATTTATTTTTACTTTTTTTTAAGTAACATTTAGATCTAAAAAGAAAATCTCACATGTAACATGTGTGTAAGGCTTAAATTCAATATCTCTTAGTTGATAGCTAAAACTCTCAATCAACAAACAAAAATGATCTGCAGAAAAAAAAGCTTATGACCTCATTTAGGATAGCTTTTGGCAATTGATTTTTTTTTGCTTTAAAAAAAGTTTTACTGAAAACTACTTCAAAAAATAGTAAAATATCTATATAAAATTGGAAAAATTATTATGTGTTGATGCCAGACGCAGCTCTATATCCGGAGGTGAATCTGGTTCAGCCATGTCAGTGGTGGTATTGAGCTATGATACTGAGTGACGGGTGACGTGGCGCATTTTGGTTAGTCTTCAAACGAAGTATGGCTTTCACATAGGTATAAATCAATCATAAGCTAAAAAAGAAGAAACTATTCAAAACTTTATGCTAATATTTAGCGTGAGGGTATTTAAACACGTAAATTTTGTATGTGTTGTTAGTAAATGATGTATTTTATCTAAGTAATTGAAAGCATTGTTTTTTTTTTTAATAATTAATTGAAGTGAAAATAGCAAAATTGTATATAGGCTGAAATAAAAATATTCATCATTCTATTTGGCTAAGTAAGAAGTTTATATTCAATTCATTTGTTAAAATAATACGCTAATTATTTTGAGCTTGTTTTCTTAACAAATCAAAGACAAATTAAACCTTACTTCATCGTGCTCAGTTCACTCTCAGTTATATATGATTAAATTTATTAATTAATTAATAGGTCAGTAAAATGCATATGACTCATACATATTCAGCTATTTTTTTTTAATTAGAGATTATTTAATTTTTTAAAATACTTGTGTATGAATAAAAGTTGGTTTTTTTTGGTTGGTTGGATCACTACATCCTACGAAAAATCCCATAAAAAATCCAAATAATTAGCTAAATTAGATCGGGTCTGCTAATATTCCAAAACCCAATTCATTTATGATGCAAAAAATATTTATGATGCTTTTTATTTCTTTTGATATATAAGAACCATTGAAACTTTAACATGTTATGCCAATTGTAGAATTTTATGGAATATAGTTGTTTATTTGAGATATTGAAATGTTATTGTTTTTCATTACTATATTTAGTTATTGCTTTTAAACTATTTGGATTTGTACTGTTGGAAAAACTCAATAACATATGCACCATGAGCTACTTTTTTTCATATTACAGGTTCCCAGCAAATTTTTTCGTCGCAAACATTGATATGATGATTTAGTATCATTGCTTGTGATGGAAATATCCATCACAAATGGCGGCAGCTTTACAACGAATTTTTCGTCACAATGTACAATAGATATTCTGCCACAATTTGCGGCTAAATTTCTGGCGTATATCAGCGATAAATCATTCTCAAAATATTTGCGATTGATGCATTTTATTTCTTTTGATATATAAGAACTATTGAAACTTTAACAGTGTTATGACAATTGTAGAATTTTATGGAATATAGTTGTTTATTTGAGCTATTGAAATGTTATTCTTTTTTATTACTATATTTAATTATTGCTTTTAAACTATTTGGATTTGTACTGTTGGAAAGTTCAATAACATATATCATGAACTACTTTTTTTTTCATATTTCAGGTTTCCGACGGATTTGTGGTGGAATTTCGTCACAAACGACATTGATAAGATGATCTAGTATCATTGCTTGTGATAGAAATATCCATCACAAATGGCGGTGGCTTTACAACGAATTTTTCGCCACAAACATTTATGATGCATTTTATTTCTTTTGATATATAAGAGCTATTGAAACTTTAACAGTGTTATAACAATTGTAGAATTTTATGGAATATAGTTGTTTATTTGAGCTATTGAAATGTTATTCTTTTTTATTACTATATTTAATTATTGCTTTTAAACTGTTTGGATTTTTTACTATTGGAAAGCTCAATAACATATACTATCATTGCTTGTGAAAGAAATAGCCATCACAAATGGCGGTGGCTTTACAACGAAATTTTCGTCACAAAGTACGATAGATATTCCGCCGCAATTTTCGGTTAAATTTCTATCGTATATCAGCGACAAATCCTTCTCAAAATATTTGCAATGGATCTATTTTATTGTAAATACTTTTGCGACGCAAAATCAATTCCGTTGCAAATCCGCTCCAAACCAATATTTGCGAAGGATTTCTCTTGTTTTGCGTCGGATTATTGTTCCACAAAAAGTTGAATTTCGTGTAGTGATGAGTATATATTATATCATAATAATTATAAATAGTTTATAAAGATATTAATTTTCATTATATAAATTAATTAATAATGCATATTACAAAGCAAAGAAAAATAATGATCATTCTAATTAAATGCAAAATTAACCTTTCAAATTCATATTATACATATGTGGACCTCTAAAAGGGATATGTTGTGCGAGGGATAGAGTGCAGAGGGTATACGACCGCACTATCCCGAGGGACGAGACATTCACAGGCCTCTGCGCTCTTCACAAGCGACAAATAGAATGGCAGATTAGATCGCACATACGATTAATCGTTTAGGATAGTGGCTCTCGCCAACGTACCCCACCCGATACATCAACTCGAGTGGGGTTTATTTGATAGTGAAGTTCTGTTTCCCACTGCCGCAAGCCCCCGTGGTTAATTACATCTCAGGTCAGAGCTTAAAAATACTCTCGATTAAGGATCTGACATTATTCTTTTCAAAAATGTGATTGGCAAAGAGAGAAGACTAGGAAATCCTACTTAAAGGGAAAGAAAGGGTTCAAGTGGGCTCAGTCAACATGCATCATTCATCTCAACATCCGGAGGGACTAAGGCACTTAAAGGAAATTGGAGAAAAAAATCATGCACTCAAAGCATACATAGGGAAAAAGATATAAGTGCCACGTGATGCAGATAGATGAGATTTATAGTCTCTGGAGAAAAGGGATCTTACCCACCGATGAGGCGTTCTACGAGACACCGAATATATTAGCCTTGAACACTAAATCTAAGGTGGGTTTAGTATTCTACACCCAACACTAACACCCGTATCCTAGCTAATGCATATAGGCTTACATCATGCCTGAAAAGAAAAGCTAGTTAACCACCTAAGTTCTTAAAATCCATGTTGTCCAGTCTTTATAAAAGAATGGTAGGTAGTTCAATTTTTTAAAGTAAGACCAACGTCTAGAGAATTTTCTAATTAGCCTTGAACTTATGTATAGTAGATGCTCCTACAGCTAGTATAATTAAAGTTTGTATTTAATTAGTTTATAATGCAATGTGTGTTGTTTAAATGATTCAAATCAAGTATGCATGAGATTTTAAAAAAGACTTATATAAATAATTTTATAGAAAATACTCGGCTTCCCCAGGTGCGACACCTCATCCTCATAGGCTAGACTATCTGGACTCTATCCGTAGGCGAGGAAGTATCTTCTAGAAGGAGAGAGAAAAATGCAATAATATGTATGGGACTTCGGATGATTCCAACTATTCCCTAGGTCGTTAGATTTATATGTTATTTAATTTTAAAAAATTTTGAATTTAATTATGAGTAGAAAAGATTTTTATCCTAGAGAGCCTAACGAAAATAGGCCACACATATGAAAGAAAGAAATCTAGAAAAAATATTCAAGTTCTACTACGCACACAAAGTAAACATATAAATATAAATCACCAGAGTAGAGTAAAGAAAGAAAGTCCATGGCAAGTGTCATATTAGTACAACCCATGGTTTGCAAAAAAGTAATAGTGATCAGGCCCAACCATGAACAACATAGATTCTAATCCTACTGAATGACGTTGTTAACATTTTTTTTTTCACTTAACTCTTTGGGTTAAGGGGTTGACTTGGTCAAATTGACCAAGCTAGGCCCCAAGACCATCTCTCTTAAATTCAGTGGGTCAAACCAAGTTTGATGATCCCAAACCCAAGCCCTGGGTCAACCTTATTGGGTAGAACCTGATTGACCTAAACCCCTCTAATTAGTTTCAAATCAAATTCAAAGCTTCCATGGCTCAATTTTCACCTCCATTAGACCCAATGGGTCAGACCCAACCCATTGGACCCAGACTCTTGCCCTGGGTCAACCTGGTTGACCAGGTCAACCCAGGTTGACCCATTTAGACCCTTTTAAGCCTAATTCAAATCCAAACATATCCCAAGCCATCTTGAGCTCAAACCCTCATCCCTTAGGCTTTATTTGACTAGGTTGACCAAGTCAAACCTTGACTTGGTCAACCCAAGTCTACCTTGGGTTAATTTGACCTATTTAGGTCAAATTAAGGCACATTTAATGCATTTAAAGCCCTATTAATATTCCCCTCACTTAATTCACGTCCAAATCATCTCACCTCCCTCCTAATTAGCCCTAATTTTGATCTTAGCCGTTGATTATAAGCTTAGGCCTATAAATAGGCTTATTAAGGCATCTAAATGAGGACTCTTGCTTTTGCTCTCTCTCCAAGCATCCTCAGCCTATGAGATTTGGGGTGAGAGCTCCCATGACATCTCTTTACTTTCCCCAAGCCAAAGACCACTAGTCAAAGTCACTGGTGGTGAGTTTTTAGTGGCCCGAAGCTTAAAATCTTCTAAGGCTTCTCCAGTCGAATCCAAGGTGTTTCGAAGCTCGACTGCATCTAGGAAATTGTAAGAGGACAATTTATAAGCTCAACCGTATAGGGATCTCCTGAATCCATTCATTGGATCGAGGTAAAATTGAAACCCTAGATCATGACACATAGGGTTGAATAACTTCATGTATAGTGCATTTT